TCCAAAATAGACTTCAAATCGAAAAAGAAGGGCATCCACGACACTGCATCTAATGGATTGTAGTCTTATGCAGATATTTAGTCAGGACTAGACTAAATACTAGAAATATAAGGCAGATGGTTAGACTCGAACATAAATACAATATATTAACTTATCTATCACTTAATCCATTGAACCACATATGATCAGGTGATCAACTCTAATATGTCATACACATTCTAATCTATTGTTTGACAATGTAGCTCGAACTTTGCAATTTTTAATATGGATAAAAAGTGCTTACTATAAAATTCATTATTATTAAGTAACTCTGAACAAGATTAATTCAGAACTTTAATCGTTTTCAGAAAAAATTTATTCATCCAAATTTTGATAAAATATATTTTGCATTTGAAAAAAAAACAATAAAACTGAGAAAAAATAAAAGTGGTCTAAAAGGGAAAGATCTTTTTTCATACGACGATTTATATTTATTTTAACTTTAACTGTTTTTAATTTGAACATGAAACTGAAATTGTATAGTTTGAATCTATTTTCGACTTCAAATTACTACAGTTGATAGTTGAAGTAAAACATTATAATTCTCATCTAATGAAATTAAAATTATGTTTCAAATAAAATTATTCTTAGTCCCTTTTTTAGATTGCATAGAAATTTTCAATGAAATAAATGTACAACATTCCTTAAGAGAATAACTACTACTTCATAATTTTTTTAAATGCAGTTTTTGCGATCCAAAATAATGTTTTAGTTGTATTATAAAAACTGAACTTTCACTCAATAAATATGTTCGATACCTTTTTTCATATGGACTGAAAAAAATCGACAAGTTGTGTACAAAAGAAAAAACAATTCATCGACTCTTGTCATCGCTTCGATTTGAAAAGCTCTTCTTATTAAAAATGCAAACAAATGATTGATACCGTACACTCTGATTTACAGTATGAAGACATCTAATTATGCACCACATTCTGAGGAAAATAATACTAATACTCAAAAATTTTCCTTTAAAACACTAGACACCTTTTTCCTACTATAATTAATCAGTCAAATGAAGCTGTTTGAAAAGTCAGGTCGGAATAAAAGGGGCTATATGAATATTGCAGACTATTTGGAGGCAGAAGTGGTATTGCTTTTTGAAAAATGAGCTAGTCCGGGATAAGTGAAATGACATTTTATATTAGTTCATATCAATATTTGAAACAGTTTCTTTAATTTAGCTAAAAACTCTGTAAACTCTAGGACATATATAGAAAATTATAGTATTCTCGCAATGCTATGTCACAAATAAAAAAAATATCAGAGAGATTATAGGTTTGTCATTGTAATACTTTAGAATCAAAGAAGCCTCGTGCAAGAGATCTTGGCATTCCATTTGATGGTGTTCCTGGAAAGTACAATGCAATAACTGACGTTGATGGCATTCAAGTTGGATTTAGTACAATTATCGAAGGGGATTCGATTCGAACAGGTGTAACAGCAATATTTCCGCGTAGAACAAATTCGGATCGTAGTCAATCACCTTGTTTTGCAAATTGGTTTTCTTTGAATGGAAATGGTGAAATAACAGGTATACATCGGTTAGCAGAATCTGGTTTACTTACATGTCCAATTTTAATTACCAATACACTTAGCGTTGGTATCTGTCGAGATTCATTGATTCGATGGTTTCTACAAAAAAATCAAAATTGTCCTGTCGATGCTCTTATAGATGTGTGCTTACCGATCGTAGCTGAAACATGGGACGGTTATTTAAATGATTATCATGTATTTTCCGTAAAAGAAGAACATGTATTCGAAGCATTAAACAATGCTGAAAAATCGAATGGATTCATTCGAGAAGGGAATATTGGTGGTGGCACAGGTATGATTTGTTTTGGTTTTAAAGGTGGAACGGGAACTAGTTCGAGAAAAGTCGATGATTTAAATTATACCGTCGGAGTTTTAGTACAAGCCAATTTTGGACGAAAGAAACAATTGATTATCGCCGGTGTACCTGTCGGTAAAGAAATGCTTGAAATGGGAATGAATATCAGCGCTGTACCAGATGAAGATGCTGGTTCGCTTATTGTCATATTAGCAACAGATGCTCCTCTTTTACCGCATCAATTAAAACGTTTAGCAACTCGAGTCTCGCTTGGTTTAGGAAAATTGGGTAGTATTAGCGGTGATTCATCAGGCGATATTTTTCTCGCATTTTCAACAGCTACTATTTCGAATGTACCAATGATGAAAACGGCCGAGTTTCTACCGAATGATCAGATGAATCCATTATTTGCAGCAACGATTCAATGTGTAGAAGAAGCAATAGTTAATGCTATGATTGCGGCTGAAACAATGGTGGGATATAATGGCGCTCAAGTAGACGCAATATCACATGAGAATTTGATGAAAATCTTGAAAAAATACAATAGACTAAATGAAACAATAGACTAATTGAACTATTTATTAAAGTTGAAATCTGCAATGATTTTGTCGTCATAATCGAATTTAAATTTAATATAGATAAAAAGTAAAGAGGATGTGGTTGTGGGTGTGGGTGTGTGGGTGTGGGTGTGTGGCTGTGGATGTGGGTGCAGAGAGCACTTGCATGCACAACTCCACATCCATACTCACAACCACAACTACACTCATACCCTATATAATTTTCTGTTGTTAAAAAATGGATTAGAAGTTTCTCTTTTTTTGTGTTAATAATTATTGTGCTTTTATAGTTGTTTACCAGATTTATTGCAAATAAGTTATGTGTTCTGGATACGATGATGATTTGTTTCAATCTTATTTTGGAAGAAATAATAGCTGAACGATATAAATAAACTAATATTGCTGGAAAATAAAAGAAGATTGTTTCCATCATCAGTCTGAGTACATAAAAACGTTCTTGATTGTCGAAAGAAATCGTCCAATGACAATATAATAAAGTATTTCGAAGTAAAAGAAAGGAAAAAAAATCTGATAATATAGTTCTGTTGAATGTACTCTAAACTACATTTGAAAAAATGTTTGTGCCGATCTTTTTCAAAAAGACTTCATAATACATATATCGCGGTCCATATTTTCTCTGTCAAGCCCTTTTATGGTTCTGCTTTTCCACTGAGACACCCGGAAGAGTTCTGCAAAACTGACAGAATCTTTCGTCGTTCAGTATCTTTGAATAGAGAACTTTTTATAGTTCAACAGTTTTTGATAGAATCCTTCACGGTTCAGTATTATTGCGCAACATTTCTTCGATTTCGTATTTTTCGGCAGAACTCTTCATGATTCAGGACTATTGGACAGAATTTTTTATGGTCCAACATTATTGAGCGAAAGCTTTTATGCTTTAGTACTTTCATACAGAACTTTAAAAGGTTCTGCAGACCTCATTTATTTTTTCTAAAGCACATACGGATAGAATAGCTATTCTTTTCATCAATTCAACATGATTTATTTGAAGAAAAGAACTTCAAACAAATTACTCATCGTAATAGGTCTATTTGATAGAAAAACGTTGAACACGATGCTTATTCCAATCGGTGACATAGAGATTGCCATATCGATCGAAGAACAAACCCTTGGGATATTTCAACTCATTCGCTTCTTGTCCTTGATCATTTTTGCCCACAATGACAGTGCCCTTTTCCCCTCCTTTAGGCCAACGCATTACTCGATTATTCGACGAGTCTGCTACATAGATAGTACCCAACGCATCGACGAACAGTCCGTAAGGATACGACAATTGTGTCCGAGCATTTCCATTCCCTTGACCCCCAGCGACGACAATCCCTTCTTTTGCACCTTTATTCCATTTCATTACACGATGATTGTAGTGGTCTGACACGTAGATAGTCCGTTTTTGATCAACAAAGATGTAGTACGGACGGTTGAGTTGATTGAGACCAGCACCTTTGCCATTGCCACCAGCCACTAGTGTTCCATTCTGGTCTCCTATTTGATATCGTCTTACTTCATGTTTGTCGTAGTCAGAAATGTAGAGATATCCCTGGTCATCCATTGCCAATCCATAACAACAGATGTTGTCGAAGAGGATTTCTCCTTTAGTTGTGCCGCTATCACGAGACCATCGTATGACTCGTCGATTATCTCGATCACAAACGATAAGACTATCCGTCTTTTTGTCGATCAATACATCAGTTGGATAACTCAATTGATCCAATCGATCTCCATAGTCATGACCACCAGCTACCACTTGTCCATTCGTATCACCCTTCTTCCATTGGATGATACGATGATTGTAGTAGTCAGCGATGACCATTGTTTGATCATCATCAACGAAGAGACTAAAAGGATAGCTCAGTTGATTGATGGCATTGCCTCCTTCATTACCACCAGCAACAGTCTTTCCATTCCGTCTCCATCGAGCGTTGGCTGGAATATTGAGAGTCACTACAATGAATGAGAAAAAGAAAAGGAATCATAGTTATCGAAGAGATTTCCCCTCCTCTCTCCCTCTCATGCGGGAAGTACTACAAATGGGGCACTTCTTCTTCTTTGAGAGAGAGAAAGAGAGAGAGTTTCGTAAAACTTTTGAAAATGTCCTTCTCTTACGGACTCTAAACAAGAAGAAGTTCTCAAAGCAGATACCAATTAGGAAACATTTTCCTAGTTTCCTATGAAAAAAAAACTTCGTCACGACTCTGATAATTATGTCACTTCCCTTGAATCTCAATCTTATTCATTCTTTGAGAAATCCATTGTAGGATCTATGATAATCTATGTTTGCAAGAACTTGTTTAATTTCTTGCCAAGATCTTTCAAATTCTAAGAATTAGAGTTTTCGCTGTGGATGAATCTCGATGGACAAACATAGAGATCCGAGAATTTGGTTCGTAATCGTGAATGGAGAACCTTCGCAGGATTATAGGAAAAAGTACTAGCAAGCTTAAATCCTTGAAGGATTTAAACAATAAAATAAAGAACTCTATCAGACTCCTAAATTGAAAAAACTCTGAGAAGATTTCAACAAGATCTTGTAAGAAGAATATCAAAAATGAGACTTTCGAATCCTTCAGCAAAAAATGTGTATTATCAACAGTATATATCTTTCAGGATGCTTTTTACGTAGTTCTGACAAAAATTCTTTTAGCATAGAGGATGTAGACGAAATTTTATTGTGTTTTTGTTAGCCTACCGCAAACTATTCGAAGGAACGACTGTGATACAACCTAAGCAAGACCATAAGAAAATTTTTTATGCATGTAAAATTGAAGAAACTTGACAGAAGTCCATGTGGATATCTGAAATCTGACGCTTTCTATTTTTAAAATGCTGATAAGACAAATGCTAATCCTATTCAGGTTTTCCATTGAAAAAGATAAGGATTTAGTTAGCTTTCTACGGACAAGAGATGCTTATATTTTTTCTGACTTGAAAAGCAGAATCATACAGAGAGATCGAAAGGATAGCGGTAAGCTATTATCAGATTTTCGAGAAGATCTGCAACAAAGCATTGTTTAGAAATGTTAGAAAGATTTTTACGAATTACAGATGAGGATCTTAGCTATAAAATAGTGAAAAATACTCAGGTTTTATCTACATCTTAATAGAATGCTAATGCTAAATGTTTGAGCTACTATAGATGTGGATGGGTATGAGTGTTCCTATTTTTCACTCGTACCTACACCTACACACATCTTGTAAGAATTCAATGTTGTTACCAAATGGTAACAAATGCCGTATTAGTTGAAATTTCTTGGCATAGAAATGAATATTAAATTTAAACTACAAAAGGATTTTAAATTTGATATTCATTTCAATGCCAAAACCTTCAACTAATAAGTCATTTGTTACAATATGGTAACAAGATTGACATATGTCAAGTTCTGATACTAGTAAGCTGTAATGTTGCAAAAATATATATATATATATGTGGAAGGAATTATTATGATTTTAAAAGTTTAAAGACTAATAATCATGTCGAAGGATGCCATCATCGATTAAATAATGATTTAAATAATGTTGTACATCCACATTTTTATATATTCATTCATGTAATTCAAAATGATTATGCTTATAATTTAGCAATATCATCATGTCATTTAGCAACTGGTATATTACCTCCACGAAAAAAGTTATTTGTAAATCGAAATGCACGATTACATAATTTAGAAGAGCGTTTTAAACATCAGACACTAATATTGAATGAATATCTTGAAAAAGTTATGCGATTAATCTGAATAAAAAAGTATTAATTTTTTTTCTTTTCCATATTCGCATTTTCTATTAATAATTTCTTAAATATGTATCTAAATCTGTTTTACAATAAATTTTGTTTTCGACAAATTTATCTACAAGTAATTAGGCACTATTCCTGATTAGTATGACGAAAAAATCTCATCAAATTATAATCTATTCTTCATTGATTAGTTAGAATGTTTTTTTCGACGAGACAGGAAAACCAATTAAGCTTTCGATGAAACGAGACCTAACCGATTCATTAATGAATTTTGTATCATTTGTGTTCTTATAGCGTCTAAAGCTAAAATACGTTTACACGATATTTGCTTTACATGGTTAAGGTAAAACTATAATGAAAAGTAAATTGGACAAAAGTTTTTTAAACATTTTTATTAATAAGGTACTCTCCTAATAGAGATATCAGTTGAGTACAATAAATTTTCAATAATAACGTAGATGTCACATTTAAACATATATTTTCTATGTCTGTTCTACTTTGTATAGTCGACAAACACAAAAAGAAAATTAAAATGAGCCCAGAACTTATGAAATATAGCTATTCGCTTCTTCCTCATCTTTACGAATGTGAACAGAAAAACTAAAATATGAAAATTCTATTTTGTTCTAAAAAATAAATAGAAAGATGAAAAACCTACCATCCAGTACATAATAAAGGTATAGTGATATCGATTCTGTTATAGAAGAAAAGGTAATCGTGTTATCATTACAAATCATGGCAACTTGAACAAACGAGTCTTTTCAGTTCTTGTTTTCTTATCTATGAAAGAACAGCGAGAAATAAGAGGAATAACATTCAGTGAAGCTAATCTATTATCTTTCCTTGGTAATAATGTCTATTTTATTAGATGAGTTGATTTTTGAACTTGTCTGAACTAATCGAATGATATATCACTGGTATATATAGCAATAACCAACACACTATTTATCAATATATATCCTGTTTGTAATCTATCTGTCTTAATGCAATGTCAGTCATTGGCGAATGAAGAAAGAATAGTGCTTGATCATGAAACTGCCATCTATCAATTCTTGACAAAGAAGACAATAGCACATTTTCATCGTCGAATCTAATGTCTTGCTTCAACTCTGACAATATATTTCGTGTAGACTTTAGAATTGTTATATGATGTATAATCATATGAATCGTTATGAGTATCAGCTCTTAAAGCCTTCTGATACTTCTTTTCTATTTATAAGAGTGTGGATGTAGGTGAAGAGAAGGTCCACACCCACACCTTCAACTCAAGAATCGATAAAGAGCAATAAACTATGATAAACACCAATACGAATTGCTTTTAGAGAAAAACGCTCCAAAAGGCTCGAGGATTCATAAATTGATTTCTTTCTTTCCGAATTGTTTGAGATCAGATTAGTGCCAATTAGTTTCTGTCGAACAGAATTCAATAAATTTCACTATTCATATTGGAACACTCATTCGTAAAGTATGACTGGAAGTCTAAAAAATATTATATTCACTAATTTTTTCCGCATAATTCTTTAGCTGAGAATCACTATTTCATAAACTTTGCCGAGTATACGCATTGGTATTCGATTGTGCGTTTGCCATTTGTGTAGCTATCATCAAAATGGATGTAGCTGTTGTAAGTGGTAATCCTAAAATACGAGTTAGATAGTTTGCAGCTCCTTACTGTATATTACAGGAGGAGCGTATCGACAGATGAAAAGCAGATCTACTTCATCGATCTCAAACTGTATAATATGAAGAACTAGACCCATTTTTTGTGCTATCCATGAAGACAGAAAATGTAAAAACTGTCATTGAAATATTGCAGATTTTCTCTCTTGTTCACACAAGTAAACAAAGCCACATTGAACGTATCTATATGACATAGAAAATACATGTCGTTTGTACACAGTTCATTTTTGACCATATTTCTGTGGACATGAATGCTTTTTATAATCTGCTATTAACGCCGTCTACACGCATTGAATGCGACTTTTTTAACACGAACACGCATTTTGTCGAATTTCTTATCTGTACAATCGTTCTCACATACACACACGGCCTCTAAACACTATGGATCACCTCATAGGGTGATCGGTAGCTGAGACGAAACACAAATAGCGCCACCTATGCTTTGAAAAAAGTCGTCGAGAAGTAAGCTCTTCAGCGAGAGATACTCGTTTTAGTACGATGTTCCTAGGATAGAATGGCTAGATAAGGGATTGGGAAGAAGAACAACTATGATGAATCAGATGAATCAGGTTGAACGGCATGCAAGTTATTGCAAGATTGAGAACAGAAATGCAAGGGTGTGGGTGGGTATGGGTCAAGGCATTGAAGCGAGAATGCGCGTGTAGGCGTGGGGTGTGTCGATAGGAATAAAGAGAAGACCCACAACCGCATCCACACCTTTATTATCCGTGTCTTTGTCATAGGATAGCTACATAAAAGTAAATCTAATGTTCTATTCCAGGGAATTTACAATACTTCCCATTCAATTAATTATCATAGTGTTAAAGGAGCACTCACTTGGATATGCAAGTAATCAAATAGTACGAATGTTCGTGTTTGTATTGTAGGTGTCACTTGATTAGTAACTTATTAGTTGAATTGAATATATAAAAATCTACTTTCCGATATGAGCAAGTAATCTGAAATACAATAGAAATGTTCACACTTTTGTGCAAAGTGTTTCGTATAGATGGTAGTACCAAAAAAGTGATAGAAAAAAATAACGCAGATGACATCGAAGTCTAGCTTCAAAATGATGAAAAGTCATTATTGAGGCCAGAACTGTGTGGATATGTCGTAGCCTCCAAAACCTTCCAAATTCAACGAAGAGCTCAGCATGAAATTGCTCAGATGTGGCTTCAACTTCAGCGATTCTGCGTGCCCTGATTCTGTTCAATAGCGGCACACTCACACCTTTACCTGAAACTCAGGGAAAACCATTCGAAAACAAGTTACGACCCGTTCTCGTTGTAAGCTTTATTCTTTGAATTAGGGCAATTGCAGATGACTTGTTTGTGAAACGCTGTCTATGAGACAGCCAAACCTTCACAAACAACTCACGAGCAAAACGTGTGCTCAATCAATGAAAAGAGAAATGAATGTGAAATTATGCTCAACATTTTGTCAAAATTTAGGTAGAACAAAATTTGCAGCTTCTACGTATGTGCGAGGGATGTTTTGAGAGCTCGCATAAATATTTCCAGTGGAAAAAACTTCGAGTATACATTGAAGAAAAAGAAAGCAATCGAAGTTTGAATCATTCTGCTCACTCTGTCATCACTAACAAGTTACGGAAATTCGGAAGTTGGTTTGTTCTCGAATAAATGATTTGTTCTAATGGGTTCGAAGATACTGGATATTATTCTGGCAGTGAAAAAAGTTGAGTAGGATGTAACTGTGGCTGTAGTTGAAGTGTGGGGATGCTAATGCAGGTGAAAAGATGATTACACTCACATCAATGGATTCAGAATACGTTACTTTCAAAGTTTCATTTTTATCAAACTTTTTGCACTGGGTCTTGTGAGTAGCTTTATGAATCTTTCTCCTAATCATACAAGATTTTAGCCAATTATCAGGCAGAAACTAGCTCTAATGAAGTCTTTGGAAGGACTGAAGACTTAATTATTTGGGCCAATACCTCTTATTGTTAATGAGTGAGATAGAAATCGCCACAACTCTTTTAAAACTTTGTGCATATATAACCATCTTTGATGTTCTTACACTTTTGATTCCATCGAAGGAAACGTTGCTTTTTTGAAAAACAGACTATAGAGGGCCTTCTTCTAGATTCAAAAGATGATCAATATTCCTTTATGAATAACCAATGATGTAAGAACGCCGAAGGTGACCATACACAAAAATTTTCAAAGGAGTTGTGCCGATTTCTATCTCATACATTAACAGTAATAGTCATTTCTTCATATAGTTAAATCTTCCATCGTGCTGAAGACATCATTGGAGCTGACTTCTGGTTGATAATGGATTGAAATCTTGTATGATGAAAAGAAAGAAGAAAAGCATTACTCACAAAACCCAGTGCAAAAAGCTTGATAAAAATAGAATTTTGACAGTTAGAAATGCTGAATCTTTTTCCTTAGATGAACTCTTTTTGTCATGTGCTTGCGCGTGCGCATACCTCAAGATATGTTCTGATCTGTTGACTTTGAGGAAATTTTTATCGACAGAAATTCAGCTGTTGCAAAAAAATATGTCAAAAATAAAAAAAAACTGTTTCCGTTAAGTTGTACACTGCAGTTTTCTCTTCAAAAAACTCATTTCAAGAAAACTGTGGAATGAAATTTGACTTTGAAAATCAGATTTTATCGTCATGAGGTGCTGTGAGAAAATTAATTTGCAAAATGTGCAATAGTTGGAGGCGCATATTTGCCGATGCATGCTAGTCATATTCTCCATGTTACAAACACTACATTGGAGCTAAAAAGACTTTGACAGTTGAGACTTCAAAAAACCAATTTGGATTGTAAGTTTTTTTTAGAAAAAAGTCCTGCCAAGTCCTCAAAAAAGATCCTCAAAGCTATGAATCATGATGAATTTGAAAGGAAAGCCTTTGGTTACGTCACCATGTATGAAGCTTGAAAATCACAATCTGGATAAAAATTAGGATTTCTAGATTGAAGGAGGAAGATTAAATAAACATTAAAAAATGAATCACAGTTAATTAAAACTGATTTAGGAATCGGAGCTCACGTTATTGCTCTGAACGATGCAGAAATGGTAATGTAATGTCCTTCTCAATAGCATGGGACTAGGGCTGTCTGTTGACTTTGATATGAGTTGCTCGTCATATATACCAGATATTGACTCTTTTATGATCTTGCTTCAATCGACAGGCGAATTCTTTTACCACTTTGTGGAGGTGCATTATGGAACGAACAACCTGACGTTTTCTCGATTCGTCATATGTTTTTAGGAATTCAGAAAATTTATAGGATCAATTTTCCTTTGTAATTTCAGTAAAATGGGCGAAGTATTTTAGCAAATACTCTTGCACAACTTTCTGAGGAATGGGAACAGATCCATGAAATATTGTTGGATGAAAAGTTATAGCAGAAAACTCGGAACGTGACAGTAAGATGATTCAACGCCAGTTATTGTGGAAATCACTTTTAACAAATTTAATAAATCAAAATTCCAACTTTTTCTTTTGACTTATTATTTTTATCGTCAAAACTCCATTTTAATTTGACTAAAGCCCAGAACTCTTTCTTCCATCTAAGAAGTGACTTCCAAAGTCTTATTTTCACACTTTTCACTGTAACACTCTCCTTCTTCCGAAAGTTTTGCATGTACGTTGCAAAATTCTTTTTCCATTTCACTCAAATTCCTAGAAAAAACTAATTTGATGCTTTCAAAAACTTTTTCGAAAGTGTTTACAAATCACTAAGAAGTTTCAGTTATATATAACATACCACGTCCATTCCATTAGTGAAAAATGCAACACAAAAGATTATGCTAACTCGTACGGTAAGAAAAGCAAGGATGTCGAGAAAAAACACAAGTCATAAAGCTAAGATGCACAAACACTTAAGCTCACCTGTGTGCATCATGTCCTGCCTGATGATGTGTCCTAGTATCTTGACTTTCTTGACAAGACTGTCAAAGCAGCCCATACTCATGAGAAAAAATTTCGACTATGGTTTGTTTCATTATAACCCAAGAAATAACGTATGCTGTTCAGATTAAGCGAAAGATACAAATTTGTAAAGAATTGAACGTGAAATCATTCAAAAAAGTTTGCACAATTATGTTGAAAGGCTGTTGAGAAACATTCAAAATACTAACAGGCGCATTCTTTTATTGGTCATACGTTAGTATACCAATTCGAATAGGAGTTGTATGGTATGAGGGTGAGAATAAGTGGCTGTTGGTGTGAATCTGTCTAAAATCTTCTATTCACCCGTACTCACATACAGTCATCTACTCATCGATCTACACTAATCCACCTACTCTAATCATTTCTAGATTTCTCAGATCAGCATTAAAAAATCTCATATTTTGGATGTATGCATAATTTGTGTCGGCTTTCTCATCGTGCCTGTTCATGAGCGATCACGTTTTTCTTAAATACCCGTGTAAATGTACACGTGAGTAGGTGTCGCTCCGTAGGAGTGTGAGTTAGATCTTTCGAAAAGATACGAATATTCGAGAACAACGATGAAGATCCTCGATTAACCACCGACATCCATAGTGGGAAGGCTGCCATGAACAAGCGTGTGGGTGAATGGATGATGGGTGAGTGTAGGGTGAAGAAAAGAGCCTCTTCCGCACCCATCAACAGATGAACCCATCCTCACCCTCAAATACCTTTTTGAAGTCTTTCCTAGGTTTTCAGAGAACACATTGAGTTCAATTACACGTTTATGCTCACGATCTAACGACATGTCCTAGTTTAGAAGGTGTAAGTCAAATTCTACTGTAGTCTGAATAGAAGCTATGCAATATTTTTTGTTTGGTGATGAAATTCTTTCTTACCAGTGAATAGCGTACATAAGGCACAACAATAATTTGACATTTTATCTGTGCACGAGTTTTTATCAAGTAAACGACGAATACATCGTTTTTTGCTCTTCAATACCTCCAGCACCTTCTATTTGCATTTTTCTTCAATATCTCCATTGAAGAAACGAGGAGAGATAGATTAAATCTTGAAGTTATCACAATTACTTTCTGTTTATTTACACAGTGATAAAGAAATACTGCATTTGTGCGATATCAGAATGTTGAAATAGCAGAAAGGGTTTCTATTGTAAAGAGATAATTGTGTAGTTGACGAGAAACAGAATTCTGTCTCCTTCACCCATTTATGTTCTCAATCCAGTTCTGACTGTCTTTGAGAAGCTCGCAAAATTTACTCTCGATGTTCGAACAGGATGTAGGCGTAAGTATGGATTATCTCTTCGTTCACAAGCACACTCACATCTACCTACATCCACACACCTACATCGCGCCCATACCCACCTCTACACACTCACACCCATGTACACCCAAAATCGAACATAGTGATCAATTCTACATTAGCCACATTCAACTACAATATTTCTAACATGAAAAATGTGTATCAATTAGAATTGAGTTTGAGTATTGCGAAAATTTGTGTCATTATATCAGAGATAAGTGTACCGCTTTCGCTCTCAAATCGACATTATTGATTATAAAATAAAACAGTTCTAAGTCAGATTATGTTCCACATTCAATTAAAAGGATCTCTCATATTCATACAGATACAGATGGAAGAAGAATATATGCATTGAGACAATTATTTCCTAAAAATAGTTTTTTTAAACAATATCGGCTTTACACAATAAATAGAATTTTTACTAAACTACATAGTGACATGTTTTTTGTTGTGTCATAAACGATCTACCATATTCAATTAGTTTTCTTTGCTATTTTCGATTACTTGTTGTATACTTATTTTGTTTGTATAAATTCGATGAATAATCGATAGCCACACTTGTTCCATGATTGTTCATGAGTATTTTGTTGGCATGAAGAACCTATTATTGCCAAGAAGAATATACAGATAGCCTATTACGATATCCCGACAAGAATAATGTAAGAATAAAATAAAGGATAGAGCTTTGATTTGATCACGATTGGCATCGGTCTGTGTATATCGATTGTAGATGACACTTCGTCAAGTGTTTCATTGTGGGTTAAACATTCAGTAGAAATACGAGAGATAAACCATTGACGTGAGCAAAACTATTCGCTTCCGAGTTACTGTTTGGCCTTTCAATTTTGCAAAGGATCAACTTGTTCTTTACTTCCTTTGTTTTCCTCTTCTGCTGACCAAAATGACGAAAATCGTGTGTGTCGTCGTTGTTGTAGAAATGAGAGACAGTAAGCGAATGTTATTTCTCTCTGATTTGAATTATAAACGGTTGAACGTATTGCATAATAATATGAATGAATAATCTTTGATAACGTGGATGATGGAAGAAAATTTCTTCCATCTCATACGAAATCAATAATCAAAGTATATCATTTATGTCCTTGCTTTTTCGTTTCTGCATAATATTTTGCCCTCACACGAAGTATTTTAGAGGCATCATTTCGAATTCTTTTCTCGTAGCTTCACGGATATTGTAAGTAAAGCCGGGCCAATTTACAATCTCACCTATGATATTCAATTCAATTATAAAGAGCTAGACGAAGAGATTATTTCATTTCGAACAATGTGTATTCTTCACGCATTAGAATACGCTGTGCTCGTGTTTGATAGTTAAAGTACAAGAGATTTCTGGGCAGACTTACTATTTTTTGCGAGTGATTTCCGAGCTTACCTTTTGTTTCTAATGCACTGTTTCAACCAAAAGCCATTCGAAATACAGCAATTCTTATGCATTCGCTTCATATTAGTCTAAGAAACTGTATCGATCAGATTGAACGAAATCAATATACTCACGACATATTTTTTAACAATAGATTTATGAGCTATGAATGGAAATAATTCGATTGGTATGACAACTAGCGTTCATCGGAATACAAATATGCATTATAGGAACATCTAGGTATACTTGGTGTGGGTATGAGGTGGGGGTGTGGATGGCTGTCTTATTATCATTACACCAACTCACATCCTGCTCAAAGTTTTTTTCTATAGACAGAGGAGGGCCGCAAGGCTCGTGCCTAACACCAGCGATCTTTGTAGTATATCACTGCGACATGTGGAGATATATTGAGAATTCGATCCCTAACTTTTTTATGGACGATTTAGCATGCGTAGTAGGAGGAAGAATTGCCGTGAAGTCCTCTCTTCAATATTTAGGCATAGAGAGAAAGCTCAAATAAGTATTTAACTATTTAAAATACGACACAGTTTTGGCATTGCAGCCGATAGACTATAAGAAAACAGTTTGAATGTAGTCAGCGAGGGCGACTACCGCACCCACTTTCGAAATCCACCTCAGTAATAACGTGATTGAAAGAGTAAAAAACTTTAGGTACTTAGGGTGTCATTTTTTTTATTTAAAATGGGCTGAGAGAAGATGCTGACACTATACAAATTGAAAATTAGAAATCGAGTAAGACTAGTCAAATTATCCAAAGTAGCCGGAACATCATTCTACAGTTTACGAAAGGACCTGTTTTCGACTTTTCTCAAACCTCTGTTCGTTTGGTTATGCGGTATTTTTTCTCTGCTTACGAATGGACATCGGGATAAACTAGTGCGCTTCTGCTCTTTGAGTCACAAAGCTGGAATGTGTACAGGAGAATGTGGCTAGATAAGAAATTGATGATTTCGAAAATTTTTAGATCCAAAAATTCCATAGAGTTCTCTCCAGTGATAGAACAAAGTTTATTTTGAGATGAAAATAATGATCCTAATTCCATAGCGCTGATTCTAAAAGAAGATCTTGATTTTTGCCACGAAAATACTATCTTTGCATCAAATAAAAAGATAACAAAATGATTCAGGCCTCAATGTTAAAATAGATGAAGATGTTTTCGAGCTGTGGAGGTTCTTTTGCCCTTTGTATTTCTAGAAGAAGAGAAAAAAACGCTGCCAAAGAATGGATTTCTTTTCATTTATTGTTCTTGATTATTTTCAAAGATATTCTTGAGATATGTGTATTATGTTTCCTGTATATTTATTAAAAGATTATTTCTACAAAGGTAAAATTTTAGATTTGTGAGTATTGCATAAATGTCTCTCAATCATTTCTTTTCACTAATTTAATCCAAACTGCTTCTGGTGCGAGAACTGTTCGTTCACGAAGGTTGAATTTGGTTTCGAGATGTTCACCGGGTAGAATGGAATATTCGCGTAGCAGTCGCACTAGTAGAATCTTCATTTCGATCAATGCAAAGCGCATGCCAATACAATGCCGTGGTCCTGCTCCAAACGGTAGATAAGCTAGCGGATGACGTTTTCTTTCATGACGTTCGGGAAAGAAGACATGGGGATCTTCAGGACCCCAAAGTTCCCGATCGTAATGGACGGAATAGACATCAGCATACACTAAGGTGCCTTCAAAAGATGAAAGACATGCATCATTTCATATATGACTGTCATAGAGATGAACAACATTCTTTAGATTAAAATACAATTCTAATAGATTTTCCGATAGTTTAGAAAAGTTTGAAGTGTTTCCTGACATGAAACTACATAATTACCTTTGTCGATTTTAATTTCTTGTACGACTGTATCCTCGAAGGCACGTCTTTGAATGGCTTGATTTGCAATGGGATACATTCTCAAGACTTCTGACAGGAACATATCCATATAGGGCATCTGTGTCACTATATCATAATCGGGATATTTTTTGATTTCTTCGTCGGCCGTATCATCAGTGGCCAATGGAAGTTGGTCAATTTCAGCCTGAAGCTTCTGAAGAACTTCTGGATGTCGGGCAAGTTCATACGTTGCACAAGCCAAAGTAGTTGATGTTGTTTCATATCCTCCTATCATGAAGATAAAGATATTACTGATGATTTCTTCTCGAGTAAGTCGATAGTTTGCCTTGCTACCATCTTGCACGTCATCCTAAAAGAGAAATGTATTTAAAATAGACTCGTTACTGCCTTCATTCCCTCGAATGGAATTGAAAATAAAAATCATATCAACATGTGCGGTTATCTTCTCGTACTCCGCTTTCTACCCCAAATGTGAATAAATTTATTCGGAAAAGCTCTTTTTCGAGAAATCTGTGTCCCCAAAGATGCTTATTAAGGTTGCTAGATCTGACTTACATTAATTTGTTCATCGGTGATCACTTGTAACATCAGTTGCAAAAGATCGACTCGTGAGGTTGGTGCCTGCTGTCGTTGCTCGAGAATTGGATGTAGTCGGTTGTGAAGCCACACAGCTGGATGTTCATGCAACTGTCTCTTTGACACCGAAGTTAAAAGACGGATATTGATGAACGCTCGAACCATGTTGATGCTATCAAAGATTTTTCCAAGAATACGTTGCACCTGAGGCACAAGTTGAAGAAGTTTGAAAAAAAGACTCGATTTAATGCCAGCATCAAAGAGCTCTTCCACTTTCTTGAAATACATATTGTTTGGATTATTCTGTAAATCAGTGTCGAGTCCAAAAGCACATCGACCTAAACCATACTAGAAATAACAGTTATCGAGAAGATATGAAGATATACTTACATATGACGTCCATTGTCATACGTTTATAATATGTGTAGATATTGAATTCATTCTCGGAAGTGACATGATCGACTATTTTTTCCATGACATTAGTAATACATCCATTGATTAGAGGACTCATCAGTTTTAGTTTGGCTGCAGAAAACGTTGGATTTAATACATGACGATGTCGACGCCATTTTGCACCCGATGAAGTAAAGACATTTTGAATTTTACCACCTGTGAAAAGGTCGTTTCGTCCCGGAAAAACAACAAATTGTTTGACGAAGACTTCTTGAAGAAAATCAGGATCGCTGACAACAAAGGTAGGAACAGTTCCTTGATAAATTCCGTAGATTTTGCCATATTCTTTCGTCCAATTTTGAAGTTGACGATGAAAGGATTCACTACTCCATAACGTTTTAAAATGACCAAAGAAGAAATGGAAAGGTGGTGTAGGAATACCAAGTCGACTAAAGTATTGATAACGTTGACGTAGCAGAAAAAAGTAATACGTCGCCAGACCAATGCATACAAGAAGCAAAATTATTGATAAAGGTAACATTTTATTTACTTGATGATAAAAAAAAGAAAAATCGCCTGTCTTTATATAGATGAATGACTATGTTACCTTTTCTCTTGATCGTTCTGTATTAAGATATGAAGTGCGTTTAATAACGTCAAACTATAAGTTGGGTCACGCGTACCTTTGGAATGCAAAAGGACGACGTTCTTTTCAATTCATTCTTTCCTTCATTGATATCCATCCTTGTTGAGAAAGAAAAGTACCACTATTCAGTATAAATATATCTAAAGCGCACCATCTCGTCCTCCGCGTTCGTACTTTTATTACAAGATATATTTTCCTCTTTTCTCATCATACAAAGGTGAGATTACATCGACTATTTTATGATTATATTTTGTATCATTTAGTTTGCCATTTGGTTACTTACCACATGAATTATTCGTCTAGCACGTGCTCTAACCGTTACAATAAGTGACACTGTTGCTCAATCAAATAGAATCGACTATCAGTTAGTTTTGATACTTTCAATTCAATTAATGAAGTTGTTCATATAAATAAAATCTTCATAGTGATACATATCATTGAAAAAAATTAGTCGATTAAGTTGATACATAGTGAAGCTATACGATTTTATTTTTACGTTGGATTTTTTGGATATCTTGTACATATTATCATCGCCATTTTACCATTTATTGCTGACGAAAAGCAATTTTTTCTCATACGTTACAAGCTGTTAGACGAACCAACCTCAGACAATCGCAAGTAACCAGCGATGTAGCTACATCTAATAAAGATAATGGCCAAACAGATGACTATCTAATCCAAGCACCAGAGTCTATCAAGAAAACGGAATGAAATATCAACAAACTATAGAGAAAAATTATTTGTGTATTATACACATGAAAAACGTTTCCACTAATATACAGAGCAAAGCTGGATGTGGGTGTGGGTGTCTTCTCTTCATTCACACCCACGACCACACTCCACACGTACACAACCGCACGTCCCAAAATCTGACAAGCTATATAACGGAAAAAAAATTTCACACTATCGGATGAATAATGAAAGTCAGTATTCGATAAATCTGACTTAATCTGTTAATCACATCGCTATATCATAATGCCACTGTATTACATTGATTAATAGATAATAAGGAGGATCTTTATTTGCATTGTAAAGGAGATTAAACCAAAGGCGAACAACTACAACAGAATGTCATTTTCTGTTAAATTGTTTTTTTCTATGCATTCAGTATTTCTGAGAGGATCTACAACATAATATATGCACCAATATCTTACCTGTTCCTTGTATCGATACCATGTAGCATTTATTGTTTTGTTATTGATTTATCAGTAATAATTTATTACTCATTACTTTATTACTACATATTATGTAATAAAAATTTGGAAGTGATAAAAGTACTGACTGATAAAGTAATGCAAAACGACGTTATATTTCGCTAATTAAAAAACAAGCAAACCCCCATCAGTGTTAAAATAATAAAAAGACAGCAATAATGATAGAAAGATTAAGTGATATAAGTAACAATAATTGTTTATGAATCACCGAGCAACAATAATAAAAATTAATGATAATATCGCATCTCTATTCCTAACACACTACTACTTTGTTATTCTATGACAAGTTTTTTGATTATTCTGTCACCATCAGTTCTAACTCGAACAACTGTCAAAGGTACGCTTCTCGGTTCCACATCGACGGCCATTGCTGACTGTCAGCTTCACTGCGATTAGCATATTGATTTAAAATGGACTCTTGTCTTTGAAGAGAAGTAACATTATTAACAATAGCAAAATCGTGCATGTGTTCTCTAGATTCTTGTCTATTTGAGTGAGAAGTCGAATTTTCTGCATTATTGTGAGAAGAGACAGATTGACGGGTACTATCTGTTCGATGTTTATCATCAGCGTTTCGCCTACACTTACGAATTAACGAAGTCATGCATGGTAAAATCAATACTTCGATTATAATAAAAATAAGCACAAACATTCCAATAATCATTGTTATAAACAGGAAATCATGATAAATTATTTCAGGTAATCTAGCAATTGGTGATTGCTGATTTAGTATATAATAGGATGTTTCACTGATGACCAGTGTCAAATTTGTTGACGTCTTAGGTGGCGCATTCAAATAATCACTGTCTGACATGAATGATTCATAGTAGTTCACTATAAATGAACCAATCCAAATACCACTCAGTATCTCATCATCACTATTTACAAGTGGACTTGTTTTATTGATTACTTTCGTCAGTTGGAGAGCGATATGCGCATCTTGTCCTAGCATACGTCCACTTTGGTTGAATGTCTGTGAAAAACCTAAATCTTGGAGCATTATTGCAGAAGACTTGTTTTTACCAGGAGCACTCAAACCGACACGAAGTCCACCAATTGTATATATGTTCGATAAAGTAAATTGTACAGTAATTGATCTAAATGGCAAGAGAGCACTATAGGAAACTATGTAGTTCGACGATTTACAGGAGGAATTTGACAAGACTGGAAACCACGTTGTGCCTAAGAGATAGGTCAATGTAACTGCATCTGATGTGCAATTATAAATTGTATTGAGAAAAGAGACGTCGAGATTGACTGCTTGCTCATTTAACAAGTCCATCATGCTTTGAATATTTTCTGCGACTGGTACCGATACAGATCGTAAAGATGAGGAAAATAGTGCATTACGTATACTTGTATCACAGGTATATGTCGAAGGTCCAACTGTTTCAATCGGATAAGAACTATAATATTTAGCACTGAATACACAGCAAGAAACAGAGAGCACGATAACACAAAATGTAGCAAGGCCACCGGTCCACATGTTACCTTCGCGAATGAGATCTGTTTGTTTAAATATCTTCTCAAATAGTTTAAAACTTTTTTCAGCTTTTGGATGTTTAATACAGTTAATCACAAGCATCAAACTCCCAATGAGAATTACAATGGCAGCAACGATCAAGGTCCAGAAGATTGGTGAAAGAGCAACACAGCGTGCAGATGAGCGAATTGAAAACAATGTGAAAAACAGAATATCATCAAGTCCGGTAATATCTGGTGATTCTGGATAGGCAACTGCTTGGGTGACGTTGTTGAGCTGATCATTCGAGATAGAATCACTTGCAGAACCAAGCGGACAGAATGTGTTCATTGCACAATCGACACAGATTGTTATTGTAAGATTGGTTCCATCGTTTTTTGTTCCTGTGGGACAGGGCAAACAGCTACGAATACCTGTTACATTCTTATATGTACCGGGTATACACGGTAGTTGTAAGGAGAATGCTGGCACAATTTCAACAGTTGGTCCAACTGTTGAGGAATAATAACCACTAGGAGCTGAGAGAATGACAAAGAGACTGCCTTGGTCATCAAGGAGAACTAAATCTCTTGGCGTTGGGATGATATTGAGAAAGACAGAAGACATGTAACTGTAAAGTGGCTGTTGACTGTTGGGAAAGATGGAGACCGGCTTCGAGATATTCGTCAATGGATTGTCGTAGACATAGATTTTCGAAGAACTCCAAACATAATTTGCTGAATAGACATTGGCAAGAATGGCAATACTGTTGAGAGTGTCACTGAGCCAGGCAACACCTTTGCCGAAACCAATTCCTTGACCGTTGTCTATTGAAGTAACCAATGTCAGTGTTGTCGCTGTGTAACTGAAGAAAAAAACCGTATTCATCGACTGGATCCCGACAAGAACTTGTGTAGCTGTCGGACTTATACTGACAGACATGTCGAATTTAGGATCATTTTTATCAGCGCCTGCATTCGTTCGTCCAGCCTGCCATGTTGTACCATTCGTTGGATACTTCCACAAATCAATCGGTATAGCAATGGTTGTTGATGCATTGATACTAAATAGAATAACAGTTGCACTATATTTGACACCTATTAAAATACAGAAAGAGAGTATGGAGGTTGAAAGAATAATATGTTTCTATGTTTTTATTGACTTCTTCTACATACGTGAAGTTCGATTATTGTCAAGAAAGCCAGCAATAATACCGCGACTGCCGTCGTAATTAACAGCATATGGTAGGAATGATGTTGAAGGAGAGAGTGAATTATTCTGATGAATGGTTAGATTATTCGTAGATGCTGTATAAGAAAATGTAAAGAGATCGGAGAAACCGTAGGCAACCAAGCCGAGAGGGTCAGTTGTCATCACTAAGTGCTCCTGATGAGCGAAGGCTTCGGTCACATATGTTATTTTGTCTGTAGTGAAGTTATCACAATCAATCGTATCAGGAGAGCCGTTGTAACTGATAAAACCGACAAATGTACGATTTGGTAATTTCTCGTCTTCATCCAAATCAATAATTTCACCAACGAAGAAAAAGCTATATGTTGATTGATTTTTACCCAGAGCAACAGCGTAAATGTACCACGAAGGATCGTTGTATGGAAGAAAACAACCACGCTCATTGCTTTCTGTAACATTATCAGTGTAAGGTGCTAATTGAACGTTAAACACCTCCAGATCATTTTGAGCTTCAACAATTATCAAATTATTAGCAGCTATTTTCAGTCCATATGCATCATAGTCGTCAGCTGTAGGCGAAAAATTGGGGGCAGACGAAAGACATATGAAGAGCGTGAGAGGTAAGAGTAATTGAGACAGGATAAACATTTAAATCTACTTGCAAGAAGAAAATAAAATAAAGCTAGAGAAGAACCCACACTTGATATAGTCTTTCATTTAAACAGATCATTTTTCCTAAGAAAACTACCTGAAGATTATTTCTGACAGAGAATACATTCTATTCCGCGACGTTGGACATTGCCGATTCAATTCTGCACACGAAATCAATTTGCCTCAATCTTAGCAACTCAATCGTCATGTAACATAAGAGGCCTAATCGATATTGATCAATTTCCATCAATTCCCGGAAATTCCGAAATTGATCGAATATGGAATTACTCGCAATTTCTAGAAATTTCGACTAATTTTGTTGTGCCATAAATTTTGAAATTATGTCTCGAAACTACTTCTTCCCTGCGACCTCATACACAGTGATGTGGCCAAAGTTTAATCTTTAGAACAAGTAAGTAATGCTGAGATGGACTTTTTGAACATTGATGGAACTCGATTAATATCGATTAAACCTCTTATATTGAATGATGAGTGAGTGTGAGTATTGGTGTGGGTGTGAACGTGAGTGTGAATGTGGGTATGCGTATAGAAGTGCGTTATGCATCTATTATTACATCCGCACCCACACTCACGCCACACCTACGCCCGCATACAGCAGAACAAGTTAACAAACTATCACCATACATTGGAATTCTCATTGAAAAATGACAACAGAGGACTTAAATACGCTGAAATTTTGAAATGCATTTGAAAAAAAA